AGAGAGAGAGAGAGAGAGAGAGAGAGAGAGAGAGAGAGAGAGAGAGAGAGAGAGACAACAGGGAGAGCTATCGTGTGGTGCAGAAAACACACACGGGGAGGGACAGCAATGGGGTTAACAGTGGAGATGACCCAATGTGGGGTATTGGAATCCAAGTACAGTGAGGAGGGTATGCACGTGGGGACAGCGATAAGACAGCCTGGCTCCATAGAAGGAGATTGGACGGGTAACTGAAGATACTGTCCATGGGAGCCAGCGTCCTGACAGAACAGGGAGCTAACAAATAGTGAAGGCAAACCTAAAATGATCCATGTGGATTTTGATTGGAACTGGAGAATTGGTAACAATTCATGGTTTTCAATACATTTGGTAGAGAACCATAGAGCAACAGTTCTACAGAACTGTTGGTATGTAGATGGTAGTCCCAGAGTCTCTAGAACTGTAGGCTAATCACACGTCCACACACATGTCCCTGTTGTTCACTGTGGGAGCAATGACAACCAGATAGCAATATGTACACTGAGCACAACTAGTGCCCAGACCTTGGTTTCCCGATGTCACCCTCCCCTAACAGGATTCAGGGCTCCTATGAACAGTGGCTGATTAAAGGGCTGGTGCAGAAAACCTCAAGATATGCTTAGAGGATCTTGTCCAGGGAGTAAGGGAGTGCGCAAAGACTAATGGGGACAGATCAAAGGACATGAAGGGAACTTGACATGGCTCCCACTGGCCAAATCGGGGGCAATTTAAGCACCAAGACAAAAAGCTTTCCTTTCTCCCTCACGGTTTGCTTGTTTCATTTGGTTTGATGTATTTATCGATGCAGGAGGGATCATGCAGTGAGAAGAGAACAGAACCCTTTTTGGGATAACCTTGTGAAAGACATATGATCAGAATCTTATCATAATGAAACATTACAAAATTTCACATGGGAGGACATTCTATAGTAGTAGAATATACTCTTCAAAAGATTTAAGGTCATGAAAGTCAGAGAAAGACTGGGGATCTATTCCAGACTCAAGGACATGAAGAGACAGCACCATTAAATGCAATCTACGGATTTGAACAGGATCTTAGTTCTATAAAAGGAATATGAGGATTAAATCATAGAATGTATTGGGTTGTCGGAAAATTCATGATGTATTTTGTCTGTTTTACAAAGGTCATTTATTTATATAAAGAACAAAGATCAATCAATGATATATTGCCTATTTTGTTCGATAACCTTTTGCCATCTTTCAATGAGCTTCATAATTCCTCATTCATAGAAGGACCTGTCTTTATTTTTGAAAAACTGAACAAGGTGCTGATTTACAGCCTCATCAGAAATGGACATTATACCACGGAAGGAGTTTTGAGGAGCGAGAAACAAGTGGAAGTCTGATGGCGCAAGGTCGGGCAAGTATGGTGGGTGTGGCAACACAGCCCATCCAAGCTCCAATAATTTTTGATGGGTGATCAGACTTCTGTGTGGTCTCGCGTTGTTGTGATGGAACACAACTCCTTCACAATTAACAAGCTCTGGACGTTTCTGGATGATGGATTCATTCAAACTGTCCAAATGCTGACAGTACACATTCGAATTGTTTGGTTCCTTGATAGGAGCTCGAAAAACACGACACCTTTAAAATCCCACTACACTGAGAACATAACCTTCCTCTGATGAATGTCTGCTTTTGATTTCGTTTGAGGCAAATCACCACGTCGGGATCAAGACCGTTTGTGCACCACATTGTTGTAAACAATCCACTTCTCACAACAGTTATCAGTCACTTCAAAAAAAGATCATTTTCCTCATATTTAATGAGCATATTGCAGATGTTTATACGCGCCGTCAAATGAACTTCTTTGAGTTCATGAGGAACCCAAATATCAAGCTTGCTTACGTATCCCAGCTTCCTCAGGTGGTCGTGAATGCTTGAATGATGGATGTTCAATGTTTCTGCAATCTCTCGTGTCATCGTGTAATGTGGGTTTGACTCAATCAATGCCTTTATTTTGTCATCATCCACCTTGGTGGGCCTCCCTGACTGAGAAGCGTCATTGAGACCAAAATCAACAGCATGGAATTTCGTGAACCATCGTTGCAACTGATGTTCTTGTAGAGCATTGTCACCGTAAACTTTATGCAACTTTTCACAAGCTTGACACGCCTTCTTCCCTTTATGGAAGTAAAACAGTAAAATATGGCAAAAATGAGTGGTTTGGTCTTCCATCTTCAATTTGTTGTAAAATCTCCAAAACTCAACCAAATCGCTCAATTTTTTTTAGAATGAAGCTAGAATTGTCAGCTGTCAAATGACATAGCAATAACATAGATGCGAATGACTCTAGTACTTCCAAAAATGAACTAGCACCATCTGTCACAAACATGCGTCATGACTTTTCTGACAATCCAACAGTAGTGTTAGTTTTCCAATTGTGAAGATGCTAGGACAATAAGTGGAATGTACTGCCTTGTAGGAAATAAATCAGGAATGATGGCATAATGTCAGCAATTTACTATCAAATGGCTCAGGGGAAAAACATTCTTTGTGTTAAAACTTGGAACTTTTCCCTAATTTTAAGACTGCTTCCAAAAAATAAATAAGTAAAAAAACACTCAATAAATAGAAAAGGTGAAAATCCTTAGACATATCTTATTTCTCTATGAGGACAGATCTATGAATGAGTGTTTAAAATTGTATACAACAAGTTTTATGGCACTATAACCATTGTAATACATCCAAACATTGCTCAGAGGAATAGCAGCAGATATCAAAATGATGTCTGTCTAAATCTTTAGGTTCATATATGGTGATAAGAGCTGAAAGATACAAAAAAGCTATCAGTTAAAAGCACCGAAGTATTAATGCCAACTTGGTGTTTGTGTGTTGTGTAAACAGCTGGTATTTTTGCAGTCTGAGCATGTAAAACTCAATACTGCTCATTTTCATTTCATTGCAAAGTTAGTTAGATGCCAAGAAAAATAGTTTAAAATGCTATATAAATTTACATATACACATATGATACAAAAATATTTTTCTTTAATATTTTCACATGCCATATGTTTCATGGGAAACAAAGTGTTATATAAACAGCCCAGTAAATAAATTTGTACTATTTATGTTTCAGATCATATACTTTTTATTCAAAATCTGTACATATTCTTGTGACGCTTTCAAAACTAGATCATCAGTAGATACTGGAGGAAAAAGTCTACAGGATTCAGATTCAAATTCAGCAGCAGCTGGAAAGTAAAAGAAAGAATTATGTTCTTCATCTAAAATACAACTAAGTATAAGTGTTCAGAAGAATGAAAATAACCTATATAAGGCAACAGTACACAATAGGAGATTACTATGCAATATAATTTGCCCATGATTGCACTCTGAATTAACTACTATTATGGCTAAGTATCAGAGCTTCTGGTTGTCTCATTCTTCATTCATTTACTTAACAAGCATGTGCTAAGGTAGTATGACAAGCACTGAAGTTACAAGATGGATATGACACGGTCCACCCCTGAACAATCATCTACTATAAAGTGAAAGAACAGGTGACAATTTCCATTCAGAGTCACATATACCATACAAATACAAAACAGGACATGATTGGCACACACAGAAGGGACATCCCAGTTTTGTGTCAATATTGTTGGCTCTTTGGTGGAGGTGTTATAGAAGTTGATATCTGAATGACAAGGACAAAGGATGCCAGATAGAGGGAAGAAGCGGATGCAAAGACTACAGTGGGGGAGAACACTTGTGGAGTGAGAAGTAGTCTAGTTTAGCTACATGCTGGAGCAAGGAGGCAGACTAGGGTTAGTACCAAGACATAAGGCTGAATTATTTGGCCTGAACTAAATTGATATGAGTGTTTTTATTCCATGCAAAGGAATTTGGAGTTCCTCCTGAGGGTACATGGTAAACCAATGACAAAGTCAATGACTGGAGATTTAAATGTCACCCATCAGGTGACAGCTATATGAACTGTAATTGCCCAAGTATCCCTAGATGAGTCTGGCTATTGGGCCTCATATCACTGGCAAAAACATGACAAGTTGATGAAGCCCAGTTTTCAATGTGCAGGTGGACAGTTCCGGAGGGATGGCAGAGGAAAGGAAGGGAAGAGCCAGAAATACAAAGAGATACATGGACTTTTGAGATTTTTAAAAAGCTATACAACGCGATAAATAATTAGGAAGAAATGTATTCTTCATTATGAATGTTTTTGGTTTCACCTTTTTCATTTTCTATGCATAAGAAAATATTTAATGTAGTATCTATTATCCAACATAGAAAGGGATGCCATTTGCTATTTATAGTTTATTCCAGAAATCAATGATATCTAACTTGAATTAATACATTGTGGCGACATACCTTCTTTTAGTTCTCTAGTTATATTTTTTTCTAACTCCTGCTGCATCTGAAATAAATCAAATATTATTTATAGTATTTAAGTTAAACAGAGACATTACTGTAGGAATGATACATATCATATGAAATGTGGCCTTTAAATAATACTTTTAGAGACTAGACCTAACTTGGGGATTGTGTAAATACAAAATAAATCATATAACTAAAATAAAAAATAAATTTCTACTTATTTTAATTTTAGATACTAGAGAACATATAGATGTGATGCTATTTAGATTAATCTGATAAAAAATGCAATTGATATTGGACGAGTGAATATAAATAATTTCAGGAGGGTCATGTTTGATCTGATTGGTACAAGGAAGTTTAAAAAGTAAAGTTATACTTTACATTAATGCATTACTTTGCAATATTTAGAAAAACTGCCCTTTATAAAAGTTTAGTCATTTTTTTCTTTTTACTTTAATGGATTTTTCCTTAAAACGAGCTTTCCTTTCTTGTACTTTTAGAAAATTAAAATTTTAAGGTATGTTCTATGGTATTAATTTTTCAGCATAGAACCTTAAATACATAAAATGATGAAAGCAGTACTGTCACATCATGTGAAAATTCTACTGGCAAAAACAATAAGCAAAAATATTCTGTTATCTGTATTATGACTGAAACATTTCTCTATTCATATGGAAAGAAGGATTTTAGGAAATCTGCTTGAAGAAAGGAGAAGTATGGCCTAGAGCCAGTTTTTAAACTTAGTTTCTGATTCATGACTTTCTGTTAGAAACAACGATAACAATATATAATTCTTTAATTGTAATTTTGTTTCCTTTCTACAAATTAGAGCCAATTTTTGAAATATTCAAATAATTGCAGTTATAGTCTACTTAATTATAAATCGAGGCAGCCAGTTAGCTCAGTTGGTTACAGCGCAGTGCTTATAACACCAAGTCTAGGGGTTCAATCCCCACATGAATTGTGCCTTCCACAACTAGACTGAAACAACTACTTGACTTAGAGCTGATGGGTCCTGAAACAACGCACTGTTCTCCAATAAAAATGTCTTAAAAAAGAAAAGTGTACATTTAAAAAAAATAAAGACTCCCTAGCATTGTCACCGTAGTCATCAATTACTTAAGTGATGTCAAGATATATAGACATACGTGAACTTCATTTTAAAAATTCAAATATTTGCTTAATTTAACTATTTAGAAAACATACAATTTCTCAGCAAGACATATTATAAAAATTGAAATAAAATTACTGTAAGTAAAATGGCAAATAAGAAAGTACTCTCAAGTAAGACAATGACAATTTTTAACTTAAAGACAGAAATTAATCTTTTTAGTGTTACAAGTTTACTTAATTCATAAACAGGATTTATCTCAGTTTCATTTAAATAATAAACATCCATATATAGTTAAGTGTTTGGATGTTAATCATTCACTTATGCTTAGGGGTAGAAAAACTGGAGTGCAGCAAAATTTTTGAATTGTTATGAGCCATTGCCAAATTAAAACCAATTAGAAAATATACCAAAACATCTCCAAGTATACCATTGGTTATTAGGCAATAATATTTAATTTCTAAAATTGAATTTAAAGACAGTTTTTCAAGAGATTTAAAATGTGTCAGTTTAGTTACATTTATTGAACACAGTTAATGATAGGTATCCCTTAAAACATGAGAGATGCAGGGACTTAAAAAAAAGATTGTAAAATTTCTGTCTCCTTTGTATATTAGCACATACAATTATGACTTTTACTTTGTATGCATTAGTCAATGAAACAACTCAGAATTTCACCAAATAAAAAATGAGAATTATATAAGAAATGTGAAACCCAAGGGAAAAAAAATAATATGACTAACCTTGGTCAAGTAAGACTCCATGCTATCATTTGAAGTCCGTGGAGCTGAGGTAGGCATCACCAAGTTTTCTCTTCGAGCAGGATTTCTACTGAGGAGTAACTTATTAAGACTTCCAACACAAGGCACGTCCAGGACTGGCCTCGTAAGAGCATTGCTGAGTAAAGTGTTCTGCCGTTCCTTCACGAGAAGCTGGGTACTGATTTCTGCTAACTTGTCATTAGTCCTATGAAGATTGTAAGAAACAAATGCTTAGTATTTTATTTTTCCTTAATGACTTGCATTTTTCAAAGTTGCCATAATGTAAATGGAATTTCCCATTAAACAGGATTTTAACACTGAAAATGTGTTGGGCACACCTACCATGTACAAGGAGAGGTAAAATTGTTCTAAAGAAGTACATACAGGGCCAGCCGAGAGGCGCGTTGGTTAAGAGTTAGTTTGGGACACCAGCTCTGAGCTGCAGGGCCCCAGTTTGGATCCCACATGAGGGCCAGTGACACTGCACCCTCAACAGCTAAGATGGTGAACAACAGCTCGACCTGGAGCTGGGCTGCCGTGAGTTGCCAGCAATGGCGTAGGCTGCAGCCCCTGCTGCAGTGGGCTGCCATAAGCTATCATGTGTGGCCGGCAGCCAGCATGAGAGGCCGGCAGCTGGTATGAGCTGCCAAGAGCCGCGGTGAGCAGCCGTCCAGAGGCCGGCAAATGACTGCCTCACCTGGGAAGAGCACAATGATAATACCAACATGGGCCAGTGAAGCGACATCCTCCACAACTAGACTGAAGAACAAAAGGACAGCAACTTGTCTGTTCCCCTTCCCCGATTCCCCAACACTGTTCCCCTCCCCCAATTCCCCAATAAAATCTTTAAAAAAAAAAATAGAAAAGAAGATCCATTGACCTCTTAAATGCAACCCTGTTGATCCACAGTGTCTAAAAGAAGGCAGGCACTACCACTCTAGTAGGTTAGGAAGTTTCTCTTCTTAGCTCTTTGCTTTGTGGGTCCACTCTGGTTTCTTAGTCACCTAAGGTAAATGAGTGGCTTTCACATTAAGAGTGTGCGTCTCCGATGAGAGAGCCTGGGTATAAACTCAGCCTGGACGTGAAGAAGCGTAAGCTGAGAGGGGGATTCCCTCTATAGTCAGCGAGGGGGAAAATGTCACTATTAGAAACATGACACAATTAACGATGTGAAATGAGCTGTGTAATTCATGATCCTGTCCTCTGGGGACAGGTCCCTGCCCTGAAAATAGCTGAGAATAGCCAAACCCAGAGAGGTCCATATGGGCCACCTCGGGGCGCAGCCTGACCCTGCACCTGGGACTTGAAGGGAAGTCAACCACACACACACAAAAGAAGTACATACATTTCTATGGGGATTCCTAACTAACAAGTAATTCAAAGTAGGGAGGGAGAGAAAGGCCTGTCAGTGATGTGGACGGCTTAACAGGTAATACTTGCTGCCTTCTGGAATGGCTGAACTAACAAGATTCTTAAAGATGCCGTTAGATATATTTAGTAAACCAGTTTAGAGATTAAAAAAGAAAATCCCTCAAAGATATTTTCAAGGATTTGCTTTCACCGCCCTTGAACAATATACTTATTACCTTGGAGATATTAACCATTTGACACTGAGGCATAATTTAGAGCAACAACTTCCAAGGAAGAAGAAGACAGCCAGGTTAGTGATCAAAACGAACTGAAACAGCTCCAGAGGCATTTAGCTTATAACACTGTTACCAAGCTTTGGAGGAGGGATCTGCCCTTTCTGTTTTCCACAGACCACCTTATTATTTGTAGCCACTTGTCACTTATACTGCCCTTCACCCCTCTGTTAATCTTTCCCTATTTAACATGGATGCCTTTGTGTAGAGTAGAAAGACTAGAAAAAATTGTTCCTCCCAAAACCACCTGTAGTGATAACACAGATCACAATCAAGAAAATACATTTACCAAGTGCCAGAAGGTGCCAAGTATTAAACACTTTGGATTTAATGTTATCCTCAAAAAAATAGTTACACTCATTAAAAACTCTTTAGAATTCTGACAAGAAAGTTTATAATACTACAGCTGTCTAAATTATAAAGCTTCAAAACCACATAGCTTAAAGTCTAGATCAGGTTAACTCTATGAAAACTTTAAGGGGGGGAAATACAGTCATGTAAAACTAAAAATGGGGGAGATGCAAATGTCCTGGACTAACATTTTAAAGGTTAAGTTCACTTACTAACATTATTTTCCAAACTTATACTGTTTAGTTAGCTTTCACTTCCTACTAATCTCATGAACCTGGCTCGATACAAATTATATCAGAGGCAAATTAATGACTAAATTTATTTTCTGATTCTGTTTTGACTTACTTGTTTAGTTTATTTGCCAATGACTTTGTAACTTTTAATTCCTCCAGGTAGGCTTGCTTATATTTTTCCAATTCTATTTTATTAGAATCTTCTTGAGTAGTTTTCATTTTGGAGAGTTCAGATTCCAGATCTTTAATTCTGAGTTCCATTTGACTTCTCATTGAAGCATAATTGTTCTCTCTTAACTGCTCTAAGTTTTCTTGAGATGCTGCTTGTGCCTAAAGCAAATAAAAATGATACATTTTAAAAATAATCACAGGGCCGGCAGAGTGGCGCATTGGTTAAGAGCTGGCTTGGGACACCAGAGGGCCCCAGTTCAGATCCCACGTATGAGGGCCAGTGACACTGCCCTCCTCAGCTAAGATGCTGAACAACAGCTCAGCCTGGAGCTGGGCTGCCGTGAGTCACCGGCGACGGCGTAGGCTGCAGCCCATGCTGCAGTGGGTTGCCATGGGTTACCGTGTGTAGCCAGCAGCCAGCGTGAGCGGCCAGCAGCCACCGTGAGCGGCTGTCCAGAAGCCGGGGACTGATCTGCCTTGCCTAGGAAGAGCGCAATGATGGTGCCAACTTGGGCCAGTGAAGCAACATCCTCCACAACTAGACTGAAGAACAAAAGGACAGCAAATTGTCTGTTCCCCTTCCCCCAATTCCCCAGCGCTGTTCCCATCCCCCAATTCCCCAATTAAAAAATAAAATAAAATAAAAAAAACAGCTTTATAAAAAATAATAATAATAATTACAACTGGAATAATTGTAGCATATTTCCTTCCTTTAGTTTTTTGTTTGGTTTTGTTTCCTTCCTTTAGTTTTGAGTCAATGATTCAAACAGCAACTTAAAATGTGAAAAAAAGCTGAAGTTTAAAATATTTATCAACGTCAACTAAATTAAATCTGAATTATGACAATAAAGTTGAATCGTTCTTCTATCAGTACTTATGTATTCTGATAATTCAAATAATAGAATCAATTTAAAAATTTAAAAATTGGACAATATAATTTACTAATCCAAGAATATGGTACACTGCAATTAAGGGAAGTGGAGGAAATACACACAATATATGTATCCAAAATGTAATTTGCAGTGAAATGAATTAAAGCATATTAACGACCAAAAATGAACCTGTAGGACCAGCCGAGTGGCGCATTGGTTAAGAGTTGGCTTGGGATGCCAGCTCTGAACAGCAGGGCCCCAGTTCGGATCCATTAGGGCCAACGATGATGCACCCTCCACAGCTAAGATGGTGAACAGCTCGACCTGGAGCTGCGCTGCCATGAGTGCTGGCAACAGTGTAGGCTGCAGTGGGGCTGCAGTGGGCTCCCGTAAGATACCATGAGTGGCCAGCAGCCGGCATGAGCTGCCAAGAGCCGCCGTGAGTGGCCGTCCAGTGACCGGCGACCGGATCTGCCTCACCCGGGAAGAGAGCAATGATAATACCAACATGGGCCAGTGAAGCAACGTCCTCCACAACTAGACTGAAGAACAAAAGGATAGCAACTTGTCTGTTCCCCTTCCCCGATTCCCCAATATGCTGTCTCCCTCCCCCAACTCCCCAATAAAATCTTTAAAAAAAAATAATAACCTGTAAAAATAGATCGACTTCTTTTAATTTTTCTACTACTTCCTGTCTTGCCCGTTCTTCAACATCCCGTTTATACAGCTCTACTTCACTGTATTCCATCATATTCATTTCCATATGACTTTTAAGGTTTAATAATTCTTGTTTCAATTCCTTCTTTTTATTCTCTAGTTTTTCACATTTCTTTTGTATTCCTTTTATAGATAATAACTCTTGTTGAAGAAATTGATTTTTTTCACCCAGATGGAGACGTTCTGCAGATGCAATTTCCAGTTTTGCTCTGAGATCATCAATCTGCATAAATAAGATAATACAGTTTGCTTATGAAGGAAGTTGACTGAGAATAGTCTAACCCAAAGCCAGTATCAACTTTGGAAATCAATTCAGTTGTCATAAAATGTCATCTGTACTGTGATAGTCTTACAATGTGGAGACTTGAATTACTCAGAATCAACACCAAGGATAAAACCACCAGGAGTCACAAAAATACACTCTTTACTGTCATCGTCTTTGCCACACTACTCCTGCACTTGATTTTATACTATTTCTTGCACGACTGCTTCCTGACTTCCTCCATAAAATGACGAGCAGTCACCTCTCAGTAGACGTCTCTTACCTCGTCCCCATCTTAGCTGTCCACAATTTGTAAAGAGGTTTTAGGAATGTCATAGTGCATTATTTAGGCCTCAGTCAATAAATGCCTTCCCAGATAAGACTGTGGAAGTAAGACTGTCATGAACACATCTTATAAAAATGAATTCGAATGCCATCAGCCTTTTACTGAACTACAAATGTTTTATGGTAATTTGAATTGCATTCCAAGATGAAATGATTCCCAGATTAAGGAGAAATCACCTCTCCCAGTGTAAAAGTTTAGTGAGATGATGCCTACACTTTTGTGAACAACAAAAATGCCTGAATTCAACAGTGCTATCTTGTAATCCTTTGCTACTTTCCACAAAATAAGAACATATGAAATAACACAACAAGTTTGCTGTAATTTCAATGATACTGAGTTCGGTAGAACTACTTTGCTATAGATACAATGCTTGTTTGGTAAGACAAGGTGAGTGGATATGGTATTTTTAAAACAGGTCTGCAAATTCTTTGACACTTCTCCCATGAAATTCCCTCCCCTTAATTATGTCCTTAGTAACTGGTGTCTAGTGAATGGAATATAGCGGGACTGCTGTGTGACTTCTGTGTCTGGGGAAGATAATGAGATACAGCTTCCCTCTGACTTTCCCTCTAGGGAAGCTCACCCTGAGAACCCAGACAACGTGATGTGAAGAATGAAACCCGGGCCACACAGTCAGTCCTCTGACTTTCAACAGAGACTGTCCCCGCTAACGTGCCCCAAAAGCCCGCTTCAACTGCCAAGCATGTACATGTAAAAAGCCTTCGATGATTCTACTTCATTCACAGCTTCATCATCCCAGCTAATGCCAAGTGGAAAAGAAATGAGCTGGCCTCGCTGAGCTTTGCCCAATGCATGTTTGTAAACAAAACACATGCTGTTTTGAGTAACTAGCTTCTGAGGTGGTTTTTCGAGCAGCACTGAATAGCTGGAACAGATACTGATATTCAAAGTGGTGCGTGTCCACAAAGAAAAGAAAACTCAAACATGTAGGAGTGCCTTTCAACCAGCAGGCAGGTGGGACCTGAAAGGATGTAGAGAAGAGTGAGAATGGAAACCAGGAGGGCCTCCAAGAGACGCTTAGTGGAGGCCTGGTGGCCCCTGAAGAGGCTGACACCAAGGGCTTCTCAGCAAGTGAGGAAAATGACCCTGAAACCTGGATGAAATGGGACTGTTGTATGAAGTAACTGAAAGTAAAATCCATGAGACACATAAGCTAAAGAATGAACTATGAACTATAAAGGAAACAGGGCTTACTGGGTTCAAATATCTGTTTCCCATTTATAGCCTCTCCCACATGTCCAATTGTCAAATCACACTAAAATACAGAAATGGCTCCTGGGCAAAGATCTAATCCAGAGTGCTTCCAGGAAGACATGGTCTAAGGATGAAGACAAGACTGTGAAACGCTTTGTCAAGACCTCAAAAACAGTCTGGACGAGGCCCCGCCTCCAATTCCTTGAAGGATCTTGAGAGTGTAAGACTTTTGAAGGCATGGGCCTACAACAACTACAGGAAGCCCAAGGTGAAGAGCTCTTCTCAAAATGATTTGTGAGAGTGGGATTTCTAAATGCATGAACTCCAATAACTCACATGCAACTCAAAGTTTTTAAGAGAATTGTAGTAGCAAAAATGCTGCTTGCTAGCTTGGACTAATAAAGACCAAGACAGTACAAAATATAAGGCCTGTGGGTTTTAGACTTTTTGGGGGGAGGAATCATGCTGTGAATGAAAAAGGGGCCATATACTAAACCTGACAAGCTCAGGGAAGGCCCGCATAGCAGACCCTACGAACTCAGAGACCGCGATTAACCACATAGGCAGTCTGAACATAAAAATTCCTAACTAGAAGCAGGTTGTTGGTTAAAAAAAGGTAGCTGGTTACATTCTGGGCCTGTAGCTTCCTCGACAAATGTCAGTCTTTACCTTAAGTGGGCCTGCCTATTGTCTTTTTGCATCAAAGATAACATACATTTGGAATGTCAGAGTAATCCTTTTTTCCAGACCCCTCAGGGCACAACCCTCCACACCACAGCACCAGACTACAGAACCCTTCGCTGTTATCTTGTTCCCCCAACACCATCTCATTTGCTGTAAATGTTAACTATCCTGTACCCATCAATGTAAAAGAAGCATGTGTCTCTCCATTTTCCTTTTTATCCAATCCCAGAGATTTCCCCGCTTTGCTTTCTCCCATCCCCTTAATCTACTGCCGTACCCTTTCATGTAACCCTCCTTACGTTTCCTCCTTTGATTCTAATGTATAAAGTAAGCTGTGAAACTGCCATTTTCCAAAGCATTTTCTTAATCTGTTGAGATTTTGCTTCCTGGCAATCGTTGTCAGTTTGGCTCAAATACACTCATTAAACTTCTCTACGGGTTTGGACGTTTCTTATGTCAACAATGCTGAGACAAGAGCTGCGAGCACAGGTCATTTCTTATGAAAAGGACAGAACAGAGGTTAGAGGGTAGCACAAAGGGCCATGGAGAAGCCTTCCCATGGTTAGGACTAAGTCCTAATCAAAGAACAGGCAGCACACTTCAAGCTATATTTCAGAATAACTGTGGACTAGTGTGTCTCCCCTTTTCCATTTCTGCATGGGAGACTTTAGCAGTTTTACAGAATGTTGGGTGTTTGGGTGGGAGATAACTCGCCTCTTTGGTTCTCATGTCTTCATTTTGAAAGGAATTGTCCTCAATGGGCTTACTCCAAAAACCACAACCCAGGCACCTCATCCCCATTTGCACCAGAGTAAAGAGGGTAAAATCTGGGACTCGAGCCTGAGCCTGATGCCAGAATAATAGAAACTTGTAGGGGTATTGCACAGGGATGAGTGTATTTTCCATGTGGGAGGAAGATACAAAATTGTGACCAGTGGGTAGATGAAGCTGGTTTTTAAATGTATCCTGAAGTTTTGAAATACTAATTCCACAAAAACTATAGAATATGGGTCAACCTTAGTGACTTGCTCCTAATAAACAGAATATGGTAAAAGTGATGCTGTTTGAATTCCAAGGCTGGTTTAGAAAAGGAAACACAGCTTCTGCCTTGCTCTGTATCTCAGGCTGCTCAGCCTTGGAGCCCAGACCCTGTGTTGTGAGGAAGCTCGGGCCACCAAGACAGCCTAGGTGTTCCAGTGTCAGTGTTCCAGCTGTCTGCCCAGCCAATGGTCAGCATCAAACAGCCAGACATGTTGGTGAACAAAGTTTCAAATGATTCCAACCATCAGCCATCGAGATGCCCCAGTTGAAGTTGATGGGAACAGAGACAGACAGTCCTGGCCACACTTTTCCTAACTGTTGATTTGTGAACAAAATAAATGTTGTTTATTTAAGCCACTAAACTTGGGGGAGTTCATTAGGGAAAAACAGATAAACCCTCTGGATTAAAAAAAGTGATAAGAAACAACGCATACAGTAGAAATTATAGGAATACCTTGTTTTACTACACTTTGCTTTATTGTACTTCGCAAATACTGTATTTTTTTACAAATTGAAAGTTTGTGGCAACTGTGCATTCTGCAAGTGTACCGGTGCTGTCTTCTAACAGGCTTGGATGAAGTTTGGCATTTTTTAGCAATAAAGTATTTTTAATTAAGGTATATATATTAGGTGTTTTGTTTGTTTGTTTAGATATAATGCTATAGCACACTTAACAGACTGCAAAATTGTGTAAACATAACTTTTATACACACTGGGAAAGAAAATTCTTGTGATTCACTTTATTGTGATACTAACTTTATTGCAGTGGTCTGGAACCGAACCTGCAATATCTCCAACGTGTGACTGTAGTCTCCTTTAAAGTGGGATCTAAGAAATGCTGAGATTAATTAATGACAACAATGCTAATTTCATTATAAGGTATAAGAAGTGTTTCAAGAACTCCCTTCAATTATAATTAGGCAAGTATAATTCTTTATAATTATCCCTCATCTGAGGGGATAAGGAAGACTGGCAAGGAGACTATAATCTGAAATATAATAGTTGAAAAACTAGAAATAGTCCGTTTCATAACCCAAATCAAACCTTTTACCTGATCTCAATTACCTGAAATTCTAAAAGAGATAGGCAACTTTGAATATTTATTAACCAATCTAGTACTCAGTCTTCATTTTCTTTTCCTCAGTGAGGAAATAAAGAGCATTACGGAATTATTTTTAATCTCAGTAGTACAACAAATGTAGTGTCTTTTGGCACTACTGAAAATACAATATCTCCTTTATCTTACTTCAAGCTTGTTGGTAAGGGAAGGTAAGACCATCTCTTGTTTATGTCATACCACAATGCTTCTCCATATCACACAAATTGGCTTCAAAATTTTGAAATTCAAATTACTAATCTATTATTCATCTTTGATATATTGATTGAGTACTAAGTGATTTTAGACAGCTGTACTGTTGAAATGTTTTCTTTGGATGGGATGAAATATTTATTCCATTTACTATGTATTACACAACAAAGTAAAGCTATATATCTCTATTTAAGTAAAAGAAGTAGACACAGGGAACTGTGGTTTCTGAGAACGTAGGATCTACGCAAAGAACAAGATTGGCACGTGTGTTACACAAAAGAACCAGGTCGAAATAGGATCTACCTTGTGAATTGCAAGATAATGGACTAGACAGATTTCTAAAGAGGAAAGCAGACAGTTTAGATT